TTGAATCCAAAAAGTCTATTTTTTTTTTATCCCAAACTTTACTTAGTGACGTGTTATATCCCTGTTTATTTTGAGCTCACAGTCAACTTTACAACAACAACAACAACAAAAAAATTTCTTTTGAACATTTTCAGTGTGCTTCATCCTGGCCTGTGTCGGAGCCGTCCCGTCCTGACATGGGGTCGGGTGAGAGGCAGAGACCGACCTCCAGTTCGCTGGGGCTCTTGACAGATTTTAGGTAAAGTGCTTTACGTCTGAAGTGGATCTTTACCTTTTACTTCGATATCATTTTATAAAATTTGGACATTTCCTGAACCTATCTGAATATCAGTGAACATCATACAATCTTTCATCCGAAACAGGAGCCAATCAGAAAGACGAAGATGTCTCTCAGCATACACAAATCAGACTCTCCTTGTTACCTTCCAAAAATGCATTTAAATCCTCATCCTAGTATAAAGAGTTCCCACAAAATTATATATATATATATATATTTATTCACAAAATTTTATACATATATATTATATATATATACATGTTACTTATGTAACGTGAAATCACACACATAACATGTATCCATATGTGTACACACATAAAATATATATATATCTATAACTTGGATCACCTTTATCCAGTTACAAAGTGTTAAATGCATAATCACCAACCAAATTGATTGTCTCTGTCTAAATCAAAAGGTGACGACTGCTACAGACAATTTCGCTTTGGAGAACTCCAACTTGGTACAAATGTTCTAAGCTCCGCATTTTAAAAGGCTTGTTCGCTTGGGCACCATGAGTACATCTTATATACAGAGAAGCCAGTAATGACTCGGGTCACAGTTACACAGATGCCCTTGTTCATTAAGTTTATTAACTGAGTTTAAATTCTCTCTCTCTCTCTCTCTGTGTGTGTGTGTGTAGAAATTCATTTTTTGTATATTTTTTAAAATAAATAATAAAACACGAGACATCCACATAGAGTCTCCCAGAAGGAGAGAATACGCGGAGAATGGCTACAAGAATGTTCTAGAAAATAATGACCAAACTCCTCAGAAATCATGGAGGGGGAAGGAGACATGCACAACAGTTTTCAACTTCTGAAAGAAAATAACTCCTTTTTTCCTATATAAATTTATTTTGCTTTACTTATCTTTGTGTGGTGCTGAGGATCGAACACAGGGCCTCACATGTGCCAGGCAAGTGCTCTGCCCTGAGCCCCAGCCCCAGCCCAAGAACTCCTTAATTTTTTAGTTGTCAACAAGTCTTTTTTATTCATTCATTCCTTCCTATCATAAAAGAAGGAACGTTGGGAGTATCCAAAAATAAAAAGGAACAATGGAAGATGGATATTTTTATTTACTTAGATAAAATACGCTATCTTCATGAGGTCTATGTATGATATTTTAGGATTTTTAAAAATTTTTAAAGTGTAAATGAATAGACTCCTAAAACATGGAAAAGCCTTGTCCATGTTTTGTTTGTTTGTTTGGTGCTGGGGATTGAACCCAGGGGCACTCAATCACTGAGCCCCACCCCCAGCCCTATTTTTGTGTTTTATTTAGAGGCAGGGTCTCCCTGAGTTGCTTAGCTCCTGGCCTTTGCAGAGGCTGTGTTTGAACTCGCCATCCTCCTGCCTCAGCCTCCCACAGGAAGTCACGTAAAAATATGTAAAGGACACGTGTCCCTCTTGACAGAACAAACGTTTCACAACTAATGTATGTTGAAATTAAAAAGATGAAAGAACATTTTATGTACTTTTTTTCAGTTGCAGACAGACACAAGATCTTTATTTATTTGTTTATTTTTACGTAGTGCTGAAGATCGAACCCAGAGCATTGTGCATCAGGCAAGGCAAGTTCTCTACCGCTGAGCTACAACCCCAGCCCTGAAAAATGTTTTTTTAAAGAAACTGAATTTAAAGTTTTCTATTAAAACATAGAGCCTGGCAAGGTGGCCCACACCTATAATCCCAGCAGCTAGGGAGGCTGAGGCAGGAGGATCACGAGTTCAAATTCAGCCTCTGCAAAGGTGAGGTGCTAAGCCGCTCAGTGAGACCCTGTCTCTACCTAAAATACAAAAATAGGGCTGGGGATGGGGCTCAGTGGTCAGGTGCCCCTGGATTCAATCCCCAGCATCAAACAAAACTTAGACAAGGCTGACACAATTCTCGGAAGTATACATAAGAGTTGTTTATTTAACCACCTATGAAGTAATTATTGAAAAGACTTTAGGGCTCTTGCCTCGCAGGTGAGAGGCACTGGGTTCAATTCTTAGCAACACATATAAATAAATAAATAAATGAATAAATAAGTAGATCCATCAACAACTAAAAAATAAACTTTAAAAAATTTTAAAAAAGACTTTAAAAGCGGCACAGAAGCGAATCCCTTTCAGATGCAGTTTCCCTAAGTAACGAAACCTTGCTGACACAGGAAATTATCTTGACAGATAAAAGCAGATCAATATTTTAAAGATCCCTTGTCTCTAGACATAGAGAATTCGCATATTAAAGATTAATCTTACTTTATAAAAAAAAAAAAAAAAAAAACCTTGAGTAACTTTTTTGCTGATTATAGGCAGCTTAATCACAGACACGAACCTTTTGAGATTGACCGTCCACAAACCTCTTGCTACTTAGGTAGACACTCTCCATCTGGCTCACGTACCTAGTTTTGTCCTCTGTCTCATCTTGGAATTCAGCGTGAGAAGGTCGCTTCTCCGTCTACCATGTGAATCCAGTCTTTCTGGTACCATTTAATAAAGAGGCGGTATTTTATCCTCTGTATGTCTGGGGAGACTTTCTGGAGAATCATTTGGCTGTAGGTGTGTGTGGGTGCCTTTCTGGCCCGTTCCGTTGGTCTGCGTGTCTGTTTCTACGTCCGTACCCTGCTGTCTTTAACTACTGTGGATTTGTGGTAGGTTTTGAAACGAGGTACGGTGGTGTCCTCCGACGTCTTCCTTTTGTTCAAGATGGCTTTGGTGACTCCAGGTCTTTTGCATCTCCCTGTGAATTTTCAGGATCTTTTTCTGCCTCCGTGAAGAACATCACTGGCCTCGTGCTAAGGATTGCACGGAAACGGTAGCCGCTTTTAAAACACTCACATTCCTGTACTCCAATGATGAATCAATCTGCTGTTGATTTTTTTATTCTGACACTTTGCTGAATTCGTTTATGAATTGAAGAAATCTGGTGGGGGTTTTGGAGTGTCCTAAAGACAAGATCGTGGTGTCGGCAAACAGAGATGATTTAAGCTCTTCTTTTCCTGTTTGGATCCCTTTAATTTCCTTTTCGTGCCTTATCACTCTGGCTAGCGTTTCAAGGACGGTGTGTTAAATAGGAGTGGTGAGGGTGGGCATCTGTGCCTGGCTCCTGCCTTTAGAAGAGATGCTTTCGGTTTTCTCCGTTCACAGTTGGCTTCGGTTTTTCATTCGCCGTCTTTATGTTATGAGGGATCTTCCTTCTATCCCTAGGTTTTCTGACATGAATGGGTGCTGCACTCTGTTAAATGCCTTTTCTGCATCGATTGAGATAATCATGTGAAGATTGCCTTTAAGTCTTTTGATGTGGCGAGTCACGTTGATTGATTTCTGAATGCTGAGCCAACCTTACATCCCTGGGATGAACCCCACCTGATCACGGTGCGCTCTCTCTTTCGCGTATTTTCGTATGCAGTTGGCCAATATATATATTTTTTTTTTTTTAAGAACGTTTACATCTGTGTTCATGAAAGACATTGGTCGAAAGTTTCCTTTCCCTGATGGGCCTTTGTCTGCTTTTGGCTTTAGGGTGATACTGGTTTCAGAATTCTCCGAAAATCCTCCATGATTTTTTTAATATTTTAATTATTGGTTGACGGACCTTCGTTTTATTTACTTAACTACATGTGGTGCTGAGAATCGGACCCAGTGCCTCACGCATGCTCGGCAAGCGCTCTACCGCTGAGCCCCAGCCCCAGCCCTAAAATCCTACCTTTTGATAGTGCAAACGAAAACTCAATTGCATAGGCACTTATCCCAGAGAAATGAAGGTTTGTGTTTATTTCTGTGTGTGTGTGTGTGTGAACGTTTACATCTCTTTATTGTTTTTTTTTCTTTTGTACCGGGGGGAATGGAGCCCAGGGGAACTCTACCACGGAGCCTCACCCCTTAACATTTTTTAAATTTTTATTTTGAGACAGGGTCCTGGCTACGTTGCTGAGGCTGGCCTCGGACGTGCGATCCTCCTGCCTCAGCCTCCCTCCCGGGTAGCTAGGATTACAGTCCTGAGCCACCACACCCCAACCCGCTTTATTCTCCACGGCCCCAAAGTGCGAAGGACCCAAAATGTCCTTCGATGAGCGAACGATTCGGCGAACGGTGGTGTGTCCCGATCACGGAATCTACTCAACCACTAAAAATGAAAGAAGTGGAGCGACAGGTTTGGAAAATGGGTGGAAGAGGAAGTTTCCAGAATCTATTCACCGAAGCAAGCGGGCTGCCCAAGGGAGTGTCTGAGCCCCCCCTGTGACCCCAGCCAGTACGTGTGTCACCAAAGATGTCCCTTCCTGCTGTGCGTTTCAAGCCACTGTCTAGGAACTGGCAGGATCCTCCGGCCCAGAGGGGAAATGGGCAAACCTAAGGTGAAGCTGAAGATTTGCACAGCCCAGGAAACATCCCGATCTACTTACCTTGAAAAGTCTCCTGGAGAGCCCGGCTGGGGGCATGTGACACGTGTGACCACATCCGATGCCCCCCATAGCCCTTGAGGTGGTACTGACGGTGTCCCCTGGCAGATGGCGGTCACCGGGGAGCAGAGGGGCAGGACCCGGGAATTCAGGCTGCAGAGCCCAAGGTCCAGGCCAGACCCCGGCCTGGTGGTACCTGAGGGCTGGCTGGGGCTCGGGTCAGGACAGGGTCCGCCAGGACGGGTCAGCCACAGTGACGCCTCCGCCCACTCGCTGCTGTCCACGGTCACTCCCTTGGGCCAGCAAACCCCAGGATCCAGCTGCTGCCCCTGATTGTGACCTCAGAGGCTTCTAGGGGGCCCTGCCTGGCCAGAGCCATGGAGTGCAGGCTCCGTCCGTGGGGTGACGGTGAGGACCATGGTCAACGTCCGGCCAGGGGCCCGTCCTTGGGGAAACCATAGCGACCCTCCCGTTGTCCTTCCTGGACTTTCTGACCCACGCCCCGCCGTGGTCGCGCTCAGAATTGGGGACGGGGCGGCCTGGTGAGCTCCGGCAGCCCATGTGGCCGGGAAGGACAGCCCCAAGTCCGTTTGGGGGGCAGCGAGTGGCCGTTGGGAGAGATGATCCAGGATGGATGCTCCTGAGGGCCAGAGGGCTGCCCCAGACTCCTGTCCCCCCCGGGGAAGCCGAAGGAGTCCAGGTGCTAGGCCCGTCCTCCCCGACGTCGGCAAGGAGGATGGCCACCACCGAATGGCTTTGAGGGACCTCCGGGTTCTGGCCACCCACACTTTCTGAGGCCACCTGGAGCCCTCCTGTCCCACCCCTGCCCTTCCCTAGAGGTCACCCCTTGCCTTCCAGCCATGGCTAAGAGGGTCCCGTCCTGACGCCGTGCACCATGGAACCGAGAACCCACAAGAAGTGTCCCCAACATAAGAAACCCAAGAGCCAGGCCCAGGACGCATTCACCAACAGCTTTCCATACAGGTACCCGAAGCCCAGACCCCCAGGTCCCCTGTGCCCCCGGGCCCCGCCACCAGGGCATTCCAGGGCCTCCCAGGGACAGAGTCCCCCGCGCCCAGGCCCCAGGAGCAATGCTGGTGGACAGCCTGGAGCTGCCTTGTCGCCTATTGTCCCCTGCCTTGTCCCAGCCCAGGCCGAGGGGCCTCCGGAGAGGTGCCCGGGTCAAGCATGCGGAAGGGTGCCCCCAGGTAGAAAGTTCCAGAAGAGCGAGCGCGCCTCCGGGAGGCCGCGTCCACACGAGGACGCGTGTTGCAGGTTCTCGTGGCTGACACAGCCCACCACCGAGTCCCTGAAAGTCTGGGACAGCAGGAACACCCCCCCGAGGGACTTGCTGCCCCTGCAGAAGAAGCTGGTGGCCACCAGGTCCATCCCCGTCCCAGGGTGAGTCCTGCCCGGGGCAGCCCTCCAGTGACCACCAGGCCCGCCCAGGGTGCGCAGTACGGGAAAGAGCCACCCGGGACACACACCAAAAGCCACAAGGGGTCACTTGCAGGGGACAGGGTGGCATGAACCCGAGGATCTGGGACAAAGGCCTGCACCCCAGCCTCCTGGTGCCCCCCAGCCCCACCCGGTGCCCCGGCCTCTCCCACTCAGCGTGCACCTCGGCCTCCGCCCCCAAGTCCCACTGTCCCCTTCTCGTGCGGCTGCAGGACCATCGGGTCCCCAAGTCCTGCCACAGACCCTGAATGGAACCCCCCCACCTTGGGTGAAATGGGATCCGTCTAGTGCCTGGTGGCTACGTATGGAAGAGGGTCCCCACCATGTCCCCCCATTTCTGGCCTCCTGTCTGGGCCTCCCCCTGGGAGCCGTGAAGGCCGGCCTTCAGAGAAGGGCAGGGAGCGAATACCGGGGGGTGGGGGGCGTCACGGAGCTTGGGGAAGGGGAGGGGCAGAGGGTGCCCTAGAAGGGGTCTGGCGAAGAGAGGTGTCCCTGCCCATCACCTCGTGCATGGGTAGCACTTGAGGACCCCCGGCCATGTGCCGGGCAGGGGGCACAGGAGGCCACAGGGACCTGCCAGGTCTGGGCTCGGGTGTGAGGTGTGGCTGTGGCTGCCTCCCCAGGCTCGGTGCTCCGCAGCACACCGCATCACCCAGCATCTACCCTCCGCCCCCACCGCCACCCCAGTGCCACCTCTGGGAACTCAAGTTACTGAGCCTCCGCTTCCCCAAGCAAGCCAGACACCCGCCGTTCCCTCTGCACAGCGACACTAAAGACCCCTGGATCAGGGAAGCAAATCAGCCATCGAGGGGCTTCTCCTAATGTCCCCAGGTCTGTGTGACCTTCCTCAAAGCCACCTTCTCCTCTGGGCACGCTCTGGGCAGCAGCCGCAGAGACTTGACTCGAGGGGAACGCCCAGATGGCCTCGGGAGTCCAGGGCCTCTCTGCCTCCCCGAGAACCACACCTACCACACGTGTACCTAGGAATAAACTTTGTACATTGAAATCCCACTTCTGCGTGGACTGGTCACTGTCTCGACGGAGTCTCTCTTTTCTCGTCCGTAGAAGTGGGGGTCATTATTGTCTCGTCTTGCAGGACGGGTGTGAGGCTCGGGAAGAAAGCACATGTCTCCGGAGGCTGAGGCAGGAGGACCCAAAGTTGGAGGCCAGCCTCCGCGACTGAGTGAGACCCTAAGCAACTTGGTGAAATCCTGTATATAAAAAAGGGCTGGGGGATGGGGCTCAGTGGTGAAGCGCCCCTGGGTTCCATCCCCAGGACCAGAAAAGAAAAAAAAAGAGAAATAAAGCAAATGTCACTAAGGACTTGATCCAAATCCACATGGAAGCCAAGATGATAGGACACGCGCTAGTCACTCCAGTTCTGTCACAGATAGTGAAAGACCTCAAACCAACCAAACACTACTAGTAGGACACTACTGATGTCTACACCTACCTCCGACACACTGTGTAGACTTTAAAAGTGCAGAACCAACTCTGTACATTGATTTGGAATGACCTACTAGACAGATTCAGAGGCCCAGAGGCTCAGTGGCCCACGCCTGTCATCCCAGCGACTCAGGAGGCTGAGGCAGGAGGATCGTGAGTCCAAAGTCAGCGTCATCCAAAGCGAGGCCCTAAGCAACTCAGGGAGACCCTGTCTCTCAATAAAAGGCAAAACAGGGCTGGGGAGGCGGCTCCGAGGACAGCCAAAGAGGACACCAGGAAGAGTCTTCCAGAATCGCCCGGTTCCCTGCAGCAAAGGCACCAGAGAGGCAGAAAAACTCCATTCAATCAGAAAGTAACAAAACACTTTTATTTCAAAAACAGAACTCCTCCACCCCCAGCCCCACCCATGTCCTATGTAATCTGCCACCAAGGTGCGCCCAGGGCTCCTGTGGCACCCAGAAAGACCTAGCATCTGGAAAGACTGAGATCAAAGGGGGATTCCGGAGGGGTCAGCCACAGGGGACCCATCTGTGACCCGGGGAGTGGAAGGCAGCTCACTCTGGATGCACGAGTGGCCCTCACGTGAGGCTGGCCATTGGAGATCTTCTCCCCTTGGCCAGGTCTGTCCTTGCCCGGGTGGGTGAGGTGGACAAGGGCACAAGGTTGGGGCCACCAAGAGCCCCACGGTACCATTCTGCTCTATGGCCCCATGAGCAGGATGGGGGCAGATTTGCCCCCCAAATTGGCCACTTGCAGCCTGAAAACTCAGAAATGGATTATAAACTCTTGGCCACCCGAGCGGCTTGGGAAGGTACCTGTCACCTGGAGCAGGTAGAAGAAACAGGCAGAGGCAGGGTGTCAGGTCCACAGCCACCTGAGCCAGGTGGTACGTACCCGAATCTGGCCACGGGGGACCTGCCCCCACCTGGCTGGCT